TGGGTTGCTGTTGAACCAGCCTTCATTACAGTAGGCCTGAGGGAGGGCTTGGGTTGCTGTTGAACCAGCCTTCATTATAGTAGGCCTGAGGGAGGGATTGGGTTGCTGTTGAACCAGCCTTCATTATAGTAGGCCTGAGGGAGGGCTTGGGTTGCTGTTGAACCAGCCTTCATTATAGTAGGCCTGAGGGAGGGCTTGGGTTGCTGTTGAACCAGCCTTCGTTATAGTCAGCCTGAGGGAGGGCTTGGGTTGCTGTTGAACCAGCCTTCATTATAGTAGGCCTGAGGGAGGGCTTGGGTTGCTGTTGAACCAGCCTTCATTATAGTAGGCCTGAGGGAGGGCTTGGGTTGCTGTTGAACCAGCCTTCATTATAGTAGGCCTGAGGGAGGGCTTGGGTTGCTGTTGAACCAGCCTTCATTATAGTAGGCCTGAGGGAGGGCTTTGGTTGCTGTTGAACCAGCCTTCATTATAGTAGGCCAGAGGGAGGGCTTGGGTTGCTGTTGAACCAGCCTTCGTTATAGTAGGCCAGAGGGAGGGCTTGGGTTGTTGTTGAACCAGCCTTCATTATAGTAGGCCTGAGGGAGGGCTTGGGTTGCTGTTGAACCAGCCTTCATTATAGTAGGCCTGAGGGAGGGCTTGGGTTGCTGTTGAACCAGCCTTCGTTATAGTCAGCCTGAGGGAGGGCTTGGGTTGCTGTTGAACCAGCCTTCTTTATAGTAGGCCTGAGGGAGGGCTTGGGTTGCTGTTGAACCAGCCTTCATTATAGTAGGCCTGAGGGAGGGCTTGGGTTGCTGTTGAACCAGCCTTCATTATAGTAGACCTGAGGGAGGGCTTGGGTTGCTGTTGAACCAGCCTTCCTTATAGTAGGCCAGAGGGAGGGCTTGGGTTGCTATTGAACCAGCCTTCGTTATAGTCAGCCAGAGGGAGGGCTTGGGTTGCTGTTGAACCAGCCTTCTTTATAGTAGGCCAGAGGGAGGGCTTGGGTTGCTGTTGAACCAGCCTTCTTTATAGTAGGCCAGAGGGAGGGCTTGGGTTGCTGTTGAACCAGCCTTCATTATAGTAGGCTTGAGGGAGGGCTTCGGTTGCTGTTGAACCAGCCTTCGTTATAGTCAGCCTGAGGGAGGGCTTGGGTTGCTGTTGAACCAGCCTTCATTATAGTAGGCCAGAGGGAGGGCTTAGGTTGCTGTTGAACCAACCTTCGTTATAGTAGGCCAGAGGGAGGGCTTGGGTTGCTGTTGAACCAGCCTTCGTTATAGTAGGCCAGAGGGAGGGCTTGGGTTGCTGTTGAACCAGCCTTCGTTATAGTTGGCCAGAGGGAGGGCTTGGGTTGCTGTTGAACCAGCCTTCATTATAGTAGGCCAGAGGGAGGGCTTGGGTTGCTGTTGAACCAGCCTTCATTATAGTAGGCCAGAGGGAGGGCTTGGGTTGCTGTTGAACCAGCCTTCGTTATAGTCGGCCTGAGGGAGGGCTTGGGTTGCTGTTGAACCAGCCTTCATTACAGTAGGCCTGAGGGAGGGCTTGGGTTGCTGTTGAACCAGCCTTCATTATAGTAGGCCTGAGGGAGGGATTGGGTTGCTGTTGAACCAGCCTTCATTATAGTAGGCCTGAGGGAGGGCTTGGGTTGCTGTTGAACCAGCCTTCATTATAGTAGGCCTGAGGGAGGGCTTGGGTTGCTGTTGAACCAGCCTTCGTTATAGTCAGCCTGAGGGAGGGCTTGGGTTGCTGTTGAACCAGCCTTCATTATAGTAGGCCTGAGGGAGGGCTTGGGTTGCTGTTGAACCAGCCTTCATTATAGTAGGCCTGAGGGAGGGCTTGGGTTGCTGTTGAACCAGCCTTCATTATAGTAGGCCTGAGGGAGGGCTTGGGTTGCTGTTGAACCAGCCTTCATTATAGTAGGCCTGAGGGAGGGCTTTGGTTGCTGTTGAACCAGCCTTCATTATAGTAGGCCAGAGGGAGGGCTTGGGTTGCTGTTGAACCAGCCTTCGTTATAGTAGGCCAGAGGGAGGGCTTGGGTTGTTGTTGAACCAGCCTTCATTATAGTAGGCCTGAGGGAGGGCTTGGGTTGCTGTTGAACCAGCCTTCATTATAGTAGGCCTGAGGGAGGGCTTGGGTTGCTGTTGAACCAGCCTTCGTTATAGTCAGCCTGAGGGAGGGCTTGGGTTGCTGTTGAACCAGCCTTCTTTATAGTAGGCCTGAGGGAGGGCTTGGGTTGCTGTTGAACCAGCCTTCATTATAGTAGGCCTGAGGGAGGGCTTGGGTTGCTGTTGAACCAGCCTTCATTATAGTAAGCCTGAGGGAGGGCTTGGGTTGCTGTTGAACCAGCCTTCATTATAGTAGGCCTGAGGGAGGGCTTGCGTTGCTGTTGAACCAGCCTTCATTATAGTCAGCCTGAGGGAGGGCTTGTGTTGCTGTTGAACCAGCCTTCATTATAGTAGGCCTGAGGGAGGGCTTGGGTTTCTGTTGAACCAGCCTTCATTATAGTAGGCGTGAGGGAGGGCTTGGGTTGCTGTTGAACCAGCCTTCATTATAGTAGGCCTGAGGGAGGGCTTGGGTTGCTGTTGAACCAGCCTTCGTTATAGTCAGCCTGAGGGAGGGCTTGGGTTGCTGTTGAACCAGCCTTCATTATAGTAGGCCTGAGGGAGGGCTTGGGTTGCTGTTGAACCAGCCTTCATTATAGTAGACCTGAGGGAGGGCTTGGGTTGCTGTTGAACCAGCCTTCATTATAGTAGGCCTGAGGGAGGGCTTGGGTTGCTGTTGAACCAGCCTTCATTATAGTAGGACAGAGGGAGGGCTTGGGTTGCTGTTGAATCAGCCTTTGTTATAGTAGGCCTGAGGGAGGGCTTGGGTTGTTGTTGAACCAGCCTTCGTTATAGTCGGCCTGAGGGAGGGCTTGGGTTGCTGTTGAACCAGCCTTCATTATAGTCAGCCTGAGGGAGGGCTTGGGTTGCTGTTGAACCAGCCTTCGTTATAGTCGGCCTGAGGGAGGGCTTGGGTTGCTGTTGAACCAGCCTTCATTATAGTCAACCTGAGGGAGGGCTTGGGTTGCTGTTGAACCAGCCTTCGTTATAGTCAGCCTGAGGGAGGGCTTGGGTTGCTGTTGAACCAGCCTTCGTTATAGTCGGCCTGAGGGAGGGCTTGGGTTGCTGTTGAACCAGCCTTCGTTATAGTAGGCCTGAGGGAGGGCTTGGGTTGCTGTTGAACCAGCCTTCATTATAGTAGGCCTGAGGGAGGGATTGGTTTGCTGTTGAACCAGCCTTCCTTATAGTAGGCCTGAGGGAGGGCTTGGGTTGCTGTTGAACCAGCCTTCATTATAGTAGGCCTGAGGGAGGGCTTGGGTTGCTGTTGAACCAGCCTTCATTATAGTAGGCCTGAGGGAGGGATTGGGTTGCTGTTGAACCAGCCTTCATTATAGTAGGCCTGAGGGAGGGCTTGGGTTGCTGTTGAACCAGCCTTCATTATAGTAGGCCTGAGGGAGGGCTTGGGTTGCTGTTGAACCAGCCTTCATTATAGTAGGCCTGAGGGAGGGCTTGGGTTGCTGTTGAACCAGCCTTCGTTATAGTCAGCCAGAGGGAGGGCTTGGGTTGCTGTTGAACCAGCCTTCTTTATAGTAGGCCAGAGGGAGGGCTTGGGTTGCTGTTGAACCAGCCTTCATTATAGTAGGCCTGAGGGAGGGATTGGTTTGCTGTTGAACCAGCCTTCGTTATAGTAGGCCTGAGGGAGGGCTTGGGTTGTACATAATGGAGGGGGTTTTACGCACGTCCAAAACGGGACCTGCATGGCTAAAATAATGTGGGCCTGCCTACAATGCAAAGTTGATATTTTGATAAAGCTTTGGTGATTAAGATTTATTTCCAAGCGGTCTCGGGAGCAAACCCTTTATCGACAGTCTTGACTACTTCGCGATTGCATTTGGCAGACAAAAAAGCCATCATTGAGAAGAGAGAAGGCTATGCTTGGTTTTGAATCAAATAAAACTAAATGGGAAAAAACTTTCATTTTTTATGTTTGTAAATAGGAAATATAGAGGCACCAAAACATATGGTACATATGGGCACTGTGTGTGACGTCTGTCAAAATTCATGCCATAACCAACTGCGTTTGGTTGGTCTTGAATATCACTATCAGCGCTGCCTGAAATTAGCACTTTGGATCATGTTTTTAAGGACACACCTAAAATATTTCCACCCAGCCCATCTGAGCGCAAGGGAGCTGATATAAGACAGATAAATTGCCGAACCTGGTGTTAGGGCTGGAAAATACCAGTACGCCAATTTTTACATGATGAAATTGCAAACTAACATGCGTTTGACACTAGTGCCGCCTTAACAGCAGCCAAATATAGAGCCCTCGCATTAAACTGTGACACTCTGGCTCCAGGACTTTTGTATTTGAGCCAGGGTGTATTGTGTTTTGTTGGGTTTTGGGTGATTTTCTATGGTTGCATTTCTGTCACGTTTATTTCTAGGTTTGGTCATTGACTCCCAATCGGAGGTAACGAGTGTCAGCTGTCGGCTCGTTATCTCTGATTGGGAGCCATATTTATACTGTGTGTTTTCTCTTGGGTATTGTGGGTTTTTGTTCCAGGTTCAGTCATAGTCACTGTAGGACTTCACTATCGTCATTTGTTTGTTGTTTTCGTGGTTGCTTTTATTTAATAAAGTCATCATGTTCACTCCACGCGCTGCGTATTGGTCCGTTTCCTCAGAAGATCGTGACATAAACGTTATTCTACAGCCTGCTAAGTACCTGGTGTTTATTTAGAAACTATATGGTAGCAGCGTACATTACATAACTATTATACTATTATATATAATGCAAAAAAAAACTTCTCAGACACTTAGAATGAATGTGAGTGTTTATGTCCTATATGTGTCTATGTACAGCATGGTGTGCTAGGATAACTGTTTCTAATGTGTATGATGTGTATGTGCTGTTTTTGATTCTGGTACGGTCACATCCTTGGCGGGACAAAGTTGTATTGTATTCTATTGTATTATTTTCTATCGTAACAAAACGTTACCTTTTGGGTTCCCCGTCTCCTCCTTGGTCCCTCTCCACTGCTCTGTGGAGGCCTGTTGTGCTCCAGCCATCTCTGTGATGAGGGTGTAGATGATCTGAGAAGCCTGGTCCTGGCTGATCTCTCCTGTCTCCGCCTGTAAACTCACGTTCCTCACCCTCTCCTCCAGGCTCCAGGGCTGCAGCCCGGAGGCCCCCGCCTGCACCTGCAGAACCGAGGCCTCCACACCACTGGAGGGCAGCAGAGACAGACTGGGACCTTTGAGGCTGGGGGTAAAGGGGAGGCAGTGAGGAAGACCCTGGGGGTCCCAGTCCTGAGGGTTGAATCGCGGTTGAATCCTGGTCAGGTCTAGGCCGGGTTCGGGGTCCGATTCGTTCTCGACCGGTCGGTCGATCAGTCTGCTGTCGCTGCCAATCAGTTTAAGGGTGAATGTGTCGGAGGCAGGGCCGGCGATACACACATACACCCCGCTGTCCACGACACCTAGGCTGTGGATCTTTAGAGACCCAGATTTGGTGATGCCCAGACGCTTGCAGCTGGGCAGGGGATGGCCGTCCTTCTCCCAACGGATGTAGGATTTCTGGATACAACATACAAGACAAAACACAAGGCAAAAATAAGAGCTAAGGATGCCAACCTCTCAATTTAGAATGGCCTTAACCTCCTGACAAGCTGAGCAGAACAGCTAGTCAGGGAGATTTGTCTATTGCCGGAATGAATCTACAAAATGAAATGTAAGTCATTTTAAATGTCCAGTCATAGTTGGAAACCCCAGCCATGGCATATGTTCTCATCCATTACAACAATAAAGACCAAGGGAATAGGATCCAACCTGGAAGCGCCGGACAGGACATTTAATGATCAGGGAGGTTTTAGGTAGGAGGTAAGCACGCCCCCCGATGGTCAGGTGGAGGCGTTTCTCCTGCCGGGTCTGGATGTAGATACGACTCAGGCCTAGAATCAATGGACAACGCTTCACTGGCTCCTTGATTGTTTCCTTTAATGCTTCCTTCCCTGTCTGCTTTGTGGGCTGCTGGTTGATTCTGGATGATTCCTTCACAGGCTGTCTGGGGTTCAACTCTTTCTTATGCTCTGAAAGGAGGGATAGATGGAGGGAAAGAGGAAGGGAGGGAGGGAGACACAGAGAGCGAGAGACAGAGAGAGACAGAGAGAGACAGCGACAGAGACAGAGACAGAGACAGAGAGAGAGAGAGAGAGAGAGAGAGAGAGAGAGAGAGAGAGAGAGAGAGAGAGAGAGAGAGAAAACAACAGAGGTCAGCCTCTTACAGTGAATTAAACCATTGTAATTTACTCACATGATGAATATAGGCTATAGCATGAAGGTTTAGAAGAAGGATAAAAACAACTTTACAACTAACACAAAATATCATAAATAAAACCTACAGTTTATCTGACATTATGATAATTATTTGATTCGGAATAATGATTTGACACAATTACCATAATTCGGGTGGCAGTTAGCCTAGCGGTTAGAGAGGCAAGCCGGCAACAGGATGGTTGCCAGTTCAAATCCCGGGACCGACGAGAAAAATCTGGTGGGAAGTGAGCTGGCAACCGGAGGGTTGCTGGTATCAAATCCCATTGCCTACCGTTGTGCCCTTGGGCAAGGCAGTTAACCCCAAACAACAACAGCTCCCCGGGGCACCCAGTGTGGCAGCCCCCTGTACCTCCACAAAACCTGTGTGTCTTTGGAGGGGTTGGATTAAAAGCAGAAGTCTAATTCTGGTTGGACCTTGTGTGCAATTGACCAATAAAGTGATCTTAAATCTTAAAATTATAAAAGAGCCAACCAATTACTAGAGAACAAGATGTTAAACCCTATTTTGTCTGGAATCAGCTGGACTTAAAACCAACCTCTCACAAAAGAGCAGTCTTTCAATCGCTGTAATTTCTGTCTCGTACTGACCGATGGTCATACTTAGACTGTGAGGCAATGCATGCGGACCCTCCCTCTAACATACTCTCTGTTTGCGTCCCAAATGGCACCCTATTCCCTATGTAGTGACCAGAGCCTGTATGGTCACATACTTAGACTGTGAGGCAATGTGGGCTCTGCTCAAAAGTAGTGCACTACATGGTGAATATGGGGCCATTTAGGATGCATCCTCTCTGTGGCCAAGTTAATCATGTGGATTTGATATCATTAGCTTTGATAACAGGGAATGAGATAAGGTCTGGGCTAGAAGGATGAGGCAACATGACCTTGTGCTTGGGACTCTGAGGCTACGTCCCAAATGGCACCCTATTCCCTACATAGTGCAGTACTTTTGACCAGAGCCCTATGGTCCCTGGTGAAAAGTAGTGCACTATATTGGGAATAAGGTGCTATTTGGGACGTAGCCTGAGGCTAGCATGAGAGCAGAGGAGAGAAAATTATTTGGTTAATGTGAAGTCAATCCATCCAATGTCTCCAAACACAACACACAGTAAACACACTACCCTATTGTGAAGCTATGGGTGCAGTAAACTGACATGTTGAAAGTTCATACACATGTACAGAGGCACGGGCATGCGCGCACATCACAGACACGCACACACACACACACACACACACACACACACACACACACACACACACACACACACACACACACACACACACACACGCCATGACCCCACTCTGACCCTAGCCCTCATAAGCAGCAGCTGGGTAGGACAGTTTCTCAAACACACACACATGCGCATACACACACACACACACACACACACACACTGGCGTACACACACAGGCACACACACACACACACCACACACTTCCTTTAAGGAGTAGCTGTGACATTTGTGAGGCACTCAATCATGTGTTGTATGTCCTCTCTCTGTTGAGGCAGTTCAGAGAGATGGTAGCTGTCAGACACACAGTCAACACTTTGGGACACACACACACCGTAGGACAGTGGACTATTTCCTTTACAGTGTGAACACACACACACACCGTAGGACAGTGGACTATTTCCTTTACAGTGTGAACACACACACACACCGTAGGACAGTGGACTATTTCCTTTACAGTGTGAACACACACACACACCGTAGGACAGTGGACTATTTCCTTTACAGTGTGAACACACACACACACCGTAGGACAGTGGACTATTTCCTTTACAGTGTGAACACACACACACACCGTAGGACAGTGGACTATTTCCTTTACAGTGTGAACACACACACACACTCAGTGAACAACCGTTGACCTTCCTTCTGTATGCTTTTCAGATGTTGTCTTCATTCTGGAAGTACGCTATGCGTTTCTTGGCTGCACTGAGCAGTAGTTGGCTTACAGTGTGTGTGTGTGTGTGTGTTTGTGTGTGTGCGTGTGTGTGTGCACTCGTGCATGTGTAGATTACGGTCAGTAATGGTGTACTGTTTGTACGTTAGCATAGATAACATTTACATACTGTAGGTAGATATATATATATATATATTAATTTTTTTGATTAGTCAGTTCAAATGTAAACATTCAAAGTGAGAACTGAGCCTGATAAAGAACAGTCGTTTTGAAGGACGGGTCATGTTCTAGTGTTTGTATTCTCATGGGTAATCACTTTCCAGACGTTGTACTCACGCACATTATGGCCACAGAGGCTGGACCCCAAATAGCACCCTATTCCCTATACTACTTTGGATCACTTTCAAGTGTACATATTTAAGACTCCTACTCACGCATAGTATGTTCACAGTGAATGCGTCCCAAATGACACCCTATTCCCTAGTGCACTACTTTTGACCAGGGACCAATGGTATCCTACTCCCTATATAGTACACTAATTTTGACTAGAGCCCTATGGGTCCAGCTCAAAAGTAATGCACTATACAGAGAATAGGGTGCCATTTGGGACGCAGGCACAGTATGTTTTCAGAATCTCTAATCTGGTGTGTCACATCTCTGTAGAGTTGGGCTTTATGGAGCACTGACATCAGACGGAACACGACATGACATATTCTCCAGACCTGCAGACATGGGAAGTGTGTATGTGTGTGTGTGTGTGTGTGTGTGTGTTTGTTTGTGTGTGTGTAATGTGTTGTGTATGAGAGTGTGTGTGTGTGTTTGAGTGTGTGTGTGTGTGTGTGTGCATGTGTGTGTGTGTGTGTGTGTGTGTGTGTGTACTCACTAGGGCAGGTGATCATTCGGCAGGTCCTGACCAGGGGTGGAGAGGAGAGGCCATTGCAGAGCCTCCTAGCCAGCGTCACCTGCTGTCCAGCTGAGGTCAGCCGCCGACACACTGGCTCCCTACGCTGGATCCCCAGACCACAGGACACAGAGCACTGTAACACACACATTCATGATGCAGCAACTATGTGACAATTGTATTTGTTTACAACTTTATGTGGAATCAAAATGGAATGCCCTCCTCCTTTCACTCTCCCTCTTACAGTTCCTGACACTTCCCCCCTCCCTCCCCTCCCTCCCTCCCTCCCTCCACCTCCACTCACCTTCCCCCACTCTACCTCCCTCCATCCATCCATCCCTCTTCATCCCTCTGCAACATCTCTACTCACCTTCCCCCACTCTCCCCCGGCCATGTAGGGCAGACAGTCCATCTTGGAGCAGGTCCTGTGAGGGGCCGGTTTTGCCCCTGGGCATGCTGTGTCCCCCAGTGTCCAGTAGGCACCCGTAGACAACAGCTGTTTACAGAACACCTTACGTACCTGGCTACCCCCGCCACAGGAGAGGGAGCACTGTGGTGGAGAGAGAGAGAGAGAGAGAGAGAAGGAGAGAGAGAGAGAGAGAGCAAGAGAGGAGAGAGAGATAGAGAGAGAGAGAGAGAGAGAGTCAGATGAAGAGATCCGCGCTAGTATAAGATGTATATAGATATAGGGATAGCGAGATAGAGTATAAGATATATAGAGAGAGAGCTATATAGAGTATTCCAGAAAATGTAGAAAAGGGCTTCTAAGAAATGTGGACAAGACAAATGCTTTGACCAATCCATCCATCCATCCATCCATCCATCCATCCATCCATCCATCCCATCCTCCATCCATCCATCCATCCGTAATAAACTTTAATGCCTAAAACGTATACCACCATACACAACACGCATGTGTGGCACGCACACACATATACACACACCACGGCCTCTCCTCCATACCTCCTGCCAGGGCTCAGTCTCCCATGCTGGTGGGCAGTCCACCTGGTTGCAGGGTTGAAGGATGGACGGCTTGAACTCCCTGCACTCGTTCTCTGACACCAAAACTCACCTTCCGCGTTCACGAAGCAATGCTCGACCACTCCTGGTTGGATGCCACTCCCCCCACGACGCAGAAGGCTGGGGCCTTTCCCCCTCCCCCCAGTCCCCCTTGGAAACCCTTTCCACCATTTCCCCCCCCAAAGGGTTTTTTTGGGCCCACCCCCTTTTTTTCCCCAACCCCCACCCCATCCCCCAGGGAAACCATAAATTTTTGGGGTAAATTTTTTTGGGGGGGTTTTTTTCCCCCTTGCCCGTTGCAAAATTTTTTTTTTTAAAAGGGGTTTTTTAAAAAGGGGGGGGGAAAGGGGGGGGGGGGAAGGCAAGGGAAAGGGGAGGGGGAGGGGGGGGTGGGCGGAAGGCCCCGGCCGGGCCCCCCCCCCGGGGAAACCCCCCTTGGGGACCCCGCCCAAGAAATTAAAAAAAAGGGGGGAAAAAAAAAAAATAAACAAAAATTTGAATTTAAGGGAAAATTTTTCCCCCCCCCCAAAAAAAAAAAAAAAAAATTCCCCTTTTTCCTCCCGTTTCCCCCCCTCCCCCCCCCCCTTCCCCCCCTTACCCCCCTCCCCCTTCCCCCCTTTTTTTCCCCCCGTCCCCCAACCCCCCCTTTTCCCCCACAAAAACCCCCCCTTCCCCCTCCCCCCGGGAAACCCCCGGGGGGAAAAATTGGGGGGGGGGAAAAAACGGGGGGGAAAAAACCCCCTACCCGGGGGAGGAAAAGACAAAAAATTTTTTCCTTTTAAAAAAAGGCCACAGGGGCCCCCCAAAAAGGGGAAAAAAGCCCAAAAAGGAAAAAGTTTTTTAAAAACAATTTTCACCCCATTTCCCCAAACCCCCCAAAACCCCCCCAAAACTTTTTTAAAAAAACAAACAACCCCTGGGCCCAATTTTTTGGAAAAAAAACCCCCCCCATCCCCAGGAAAAAAGGGGGGGGAGGGGAAATTAAAGGGGCCCAAAAAAAAGGGGTGGGGGGGAGGGGGGGGGGGACGGGTAAAGGGGGTTTTTGGGGGGGGAAAAAGATTTTCCCCAAAGAAAAGGGGGGGGGGAGGGGGGGGGGAAAGGGGGGGTAAAAAAATTTTTCCCCCCGGGGGGGGGGGGGGGGGGGGGGGGTTAAAGTTTTTGGGGGGGGGGGGCCCCTTTTTTTCCCTTCCCAAAGGGGGGGAAAAAAAAAGAAAAGTTTAAAAAAAAGGAAAAGAAAGGGGGGGAGGAAAAGGGGGGTCAAAGAAAAACCCTTAGAAGAGAAAGGGGAGGGGGAAAAAGAGAGGGGGGAGGTAGGGGAAAAGGGGGAAAAAGGGGAGAAAAAGGGGGGGTTTTTTTTTTTGGTTTTTCTTCCCCCCCCGAAAAATTTTTTTTTTTTTTTTTTTGGGGGGGGTTTTTTTTTTTTCCCCCCCTTTTTTTTGGGGGCCCTTTTTTCCCCCCCCTTTTTTTTTTTTTTTTTTTTTTTTTCCCCTTTTTTCCCTTTTTTTTTCTTCTTTTCCCTTTCTTCTTTTTTCTCTTTTTCCCCCTTTTTTCCCCCCCCTTTCTCCCCCTTTTTTCCCCCTTTTGGGGTTCTTTCTTTTTTCTTCTTTCCCCCCCCTCCCCTTTTTTCCTTTTCTCTCTTTTTGGGGGGGTTTTTTTTCCCCCTTTTTTCCCCCTCTTTCCCCCTTTTTTTTTTTTTTCCTTTTTTTTTTCCCCCCTTTTTCCTCCCTCTTCCCCCCTTTCTCTCCTCTCCTTTCCTTTTTTTTCTTTTCTTTTCCCTCCTTCCCCTTTTCCCCTTTTTTTTTTTTTTTGGGGGGAAAGGGGGGGGGTTTTGGGGGGGGGGTTGCCCCCTTTTTTTTCCCGGGGCTTCCCCTTTTTTTCCCTTCTTTTTTGGGCCCCAGAAAAAGGGGGGGTTTTTTGGGGGGAAAAAAAAAGGAGGGAGGAAAAAGGAAAGGGGGGAGAGGAGAAAAGGGGGGGGGGGGAAAAAAAGGTTAAGGGAAAAAAGGGGGGGGGGGGAAAAAACAGCGAAGGGGAATTTTTTGGGGGGGTTTTTCTTTGTTTTCCCCTTTTTTAAAATTTTTTCCCCCTCTTTTTTTTTTTCCCTTTTTTTTTTTCCCCCCTTTTTTTGTTTTCGGGGGGGGGGGGGGGGGGTTGGGGAAAAGGGGTTTGTTTCGGGGGGGGTTTTTAAAATGTGCTTTTGGTTTGGGCCCTTTCCCTTTTCTCTTTTTTCCTTTTTTTGCGGGGGTTTGGGAAAGGGGGGGGGGAAAGAAAATTTTTGGGGTATAAAAAAAAGGGGTTTTTTTTTTTTTAAAATTTTGGGGGGTTTTTTGGGGGGGGGGATTTTGGGGCCCCCGGGTTTTTTCCCGGTTTTCCCCCCCCTTTTGCTCCTTTTAAACCCCTTTTTTTTTTTTTGGGGGGGGAAAAAAGGGGGAACTGGTTCCTTTCAACCCCCCAAACCCGTTTAAAAACGTATTTTTTTAAAAATTTTTTTTTTTAAAAAAAAAAGGGGGTTTTTTCTATTTTCGGGGGAAAACCCCCGGAAAACCTTTTAAAAATAAAAAAAAAAATTCCCCCAATAACTTTTAGCCCTTGGGGGGTTTTTTGAAAAACTTTTATAAAAAAAATTCCAAATTTTAAAAAATCAAAACAAACCCCTTTCCTTTTTTCCCCCATTCTCCCCAAAAAAAATTTATTCCCCCTTTTTAAGGGAAAAAATAAATACAAAAAAAACCCCTTTAAAAAGGTAGCCGGGGAAAAATGGCCCCCTTTCCCCTTTAAAAATTAAAAATTCAAATTTCTTTTTTTTAGAAATATGTGTGGGGCCCGGGACCAAAATATCTAGCAATAATTAAATCAATCAATCAATCAATCAATCAATCAGTTAGTCATTAAATAAGCCCATTCATCCGTCGGTTGGCCAATCCATCCATCCATCCACCCAACCATTGTTTCATCAATCGTTCCTTCGAACCGTACTTAGATGTCATAGATAGAAATACCGTGCAGAGTTCAAAATCAAATCACATTTTATTTGTCACATGCTTTGTAAACAACAGGTGTAGACTAACAGTGAAATGCTTACGGGTCCTTCCCAACAATGCAAAGAGAAAGAACATAGAAATAATAACACAAGGAATAAATACACAATGAGTAATGATAACTTGGCTATATACACGGGGGACCAGTACTGAGTCGATGTGCATGGGTACAAGGTAATTGAAGTAGATATGTACATATAGGTAGGGATAAAGTGACTAGGCAACAGGATAGATAATAAACAGTAGCAGCAGCAGCCCCCTCCTGTACTCGCTGTTCACCCATGACTGCGTGGCCACGCACGACTCCAACTCAATCATCAAGTTTGCAGACGACACAATAGCAGTAGGCCTGATTACCAACAATGACGAGACAGCCTACAGGGAGGAGGTGAGGGCCCTGGCGGAGCGGTGCCAGGAAAATAACCTCTCCCTCAACGTCAACAAAACTTCAGCAGAGGGAGCACGCCCCTAAGACCCTCACAAACCTTTACAGATGCACAATTGAAAGCATCCTGTCGGGCTGTATCACCGCCTGGTACGGCAACTGCACCGCCCGCAACCGCAGGGCTCTCCAGAGGGTGGTGTGGTCTGCCCAACGCATCACCGGGGGCACACTGCCTGCCCTCCAGGACACTTACAGCACCCGATGTCACAGGAAGGCCAAAAAGATCATCAAGGACATCAACCACCCGAGCCACGGCCTGTTCACCCTGCTACCATCCAGAAGGCAAGGTCAGTACAAGTGCATCAAAGCTGGGACCGAGAGACTGAAAAACAGCTTCTATCTCAAGGCCATCAGACTGTTAAATAGCCATCACTAGCCGGCTACCACCCGGTTACTCCACTCTGCACCTTAGAGGCTGCTGCCCTATATACATAGATATGGAATCACTGGCCACTTTAATAATGGAACACTAGTCACTTTAATAATGTTTACATACTGCTTTACTGATTTCATATATATAAACTGTATTCCACTGTATTTTAGTCAATGCCATTCCGACATTGATCATCCTAATATTTATATATTTCTTAATTCCATTATTTTACTTTTAGATTTGTGTGTATTGTTGTGAATTGTTAGATACTACTGTACTGTTGGAGCTAGGAACACAAGCATTTCACTACACCCACATTAACATCTGCTATATATGTGTATGCGACCAATACAATTTGATTTGATCTGATATGTGATGAGTCAAAAGAGTTAGTGAGAAAAGGGTTAATGAAGATAGTCTATTGGTTAACTATTTAACTAACTATTTAGCAGTCTTATGGCTTACGTCTCGATCACACCGACAGCGTTATTGTGAAAAATGGTACGCAGCATCATCTGGATATGTGTGCAACAAAAGTT